CTTGGTGTTAGAGAAAGAGATGAAATGTGTATCCATTCCCCTGGATATGAGAGAAGATTCCCTTCTCCATGATATCCTAACTTAATAAAAGGTCAACAAATGTGATAGAAACATTTACAGACAAGCTCCCTAAAGATAAAGAAAAGGGATGAGTATTTCAAGGTCTTTTAACTTTATTGTTTGATTTTAGCATGGGCAGCTCTTCTCTGCTTGCAAACTTGAAAAATATGTGACGTCAAAAAAGAGGTAGAAAAGAAGAGTTGTCAGTATTTTTGAAGTCTCATTATTTCTGTGGAAGCATGTAATACGTATCTTCAATAAAAAAGCCAAGCTAAGAGGGTGGCCTTATTAATCTGGTCCTCTTATGGGCTATGGAGCTTTCGTCATTCAGGGGAAGAGTTGCAAGGAAAAGCTAAAAACCATTAATCTCCAGAGCTCAGTGTGAGTGTTGCTAAAAAACTGGTTTTGGCATTCTGACATTTTGTATTAGCTGAGTCAGAAACGCAGCTGAACTCTCCTCTTCCCACTGCCTTCTCAAAATTTGAAGCCTCATTTGCAGGTAATGTGATTAACTGGGTCCAAAGGTGCTCTCAAAACAAGACTTGTCTAATGACCTCTTATTTCTGTAGATTTTTATAAAGTGTGTATGTATGAAAAACAGTTATCTGCAAAAGAAAAAATTATTAGATTTTCCCCAGCTTATCTAACTTCCAGCAAGGAGCAGAAGAAATTGATAGACTGGTATTGAAGTCGCCAGTGTGCCCTTTGGAGTTGAGAGTCCTTCACATATCACTGGAGACATGAGCTGAGTCCCTGGAGATACCAGCAACCTTATTTTTTTTAAAAAAAATTGATCATGTTCCTTGAGAATCTTAACTTGTATGGAATAAGATAGTTGATAATTGTTTAAAATAACTAATATTTGTTAATCATGCAAAATTCTTGATCGTATCTATGTTGAAATCTGCCTGCAGAAAGTTGTAGAGAGATGTCATGATGCTGCCTGTTTCATGAAGGGGCAGAGGATGCAACTCAGCTGTAGATGAGCAGAATCATAGAAGGGTTTGGGCTGGAAGGGGCCCTAGACATCATCTAGATCCAAACCCCCTGCATGGGCAGGGACACCTCCCACCAGCCCAGGTTGCTCAGAGCCCCATCCAACCTGCCCTTGAACACTTCCAGGGATGGGGCTTCCACAGCTTCCCTGGGCAGCCTGGGCCAGGGTCTCACCACCCTCACAGCAAAGAATTTATTCTTAATGTCTCACCTAAATCTCTCCTCTTCCAGCTTAAAATCATTACCCGTCATCCTATCACAACACAGCCTGGAAGGAGTTGTACATTTGCTTTCGGCACTGAGGGAATAGATTTGGATGTCACAGGTTTGATCTTTTCATAGAACTGTGTACAATGCAGTCAAAAAGGCACCTGGAGTTTTAGGAAGCATTTAGAAAGCAATTGTGGGGGGTAAAAGAGAGAATATATGAGAAGATCATGTTGCTTTCAGCATGTCATGACAAAAGCATCCAGAGGTTTGTGCTTCTACAGAGTGTGATTAAATAGTAGAAGTAATTGTCACAAAAGGCTGAGCAGGCCAGAAGGTTGGTGGCTTTGGAGAAAATGCTTTGTAAGTACTGTTGATCCACAGCTGGAATAGTGCAGGGTTTGTGCTCCAACACTTGCTAAGCATCAGGTCTGACATTCCTGTAATTTTGTAATTCCTGAATTGCACTGAGACTCTCAGCCTACCTTCCAGATTCTTCCACGCATAGCATCTTCCTCTTTAGAAATCCACAGAAATTGTGGAAACATCTCTGCACTAATTGGCACTAACAGCTATTATGAAAAACAATTAACTGCAGGTAATATTAAAAATAGATTTTCACGGTGGCCTTTAACAGCAGAGATCTTAGGCTTGGGGTTTTTTTGGTGGCAGAATTCTTGTTTCACTTTTGCACATAGGAACAAAATGCCTATTTGCTGACTCAGAAGTCTCCGTGGTAGTCTGTATAATTTCCAAAGGTTCCATTTCCTCTAGAGTCACTCATAATATCCTGTATAAACAAGAATAAGTGTAATGCTTGGAACAACTCTGCAATATCAAGTCAGCGTTATGTCTAATTTTCCCGGGATTTTCCCGTGTTATGTGATAAGGGATGCAATAATTTCTAGAATGGGAAGCAATGGATGAAGAAAAACAAATAAAGCATGGATAACGTCTGTCACCTGATGCATAACCAGGATGTCTGTATTAGTCAATATTCAACACAGCCCCATGGAGGCTGGCAGACCAGTCTTTGGTCTTAGAGACTCTGTTCCTCTAAGGAAGAGTTTAAAGTATTTTTCAGGGACTTTCCAGTATTTCTTTCAATTATTTCCCCTGTGGTTTGCAGCATTTATGTATTAGAGCGAAATATACCTTTGGTTTTGTAAGAACAATAACACTGAAACTCGAGGAAACAAATGCCAGTTGGTGACTGAAGAGGCTCTTGATACAAGAGCACAGCTACAGCAACCACTCATGCAAAGGGGACTTTGAGGACAAGAAAATGGCATGAGGTTGTTGTTTGGTTGTTTCTACTGTCCTCTTGCCCCTACACTGAAACTGTTGGTGTAAGAAGAAAGTGGAAGTGTTTGGAAGTAAGAAAATTGCTGAGGATGGAAAGGACATGTAAACTCTTCTGCTACAGTTAGTTGCAAAGAGGGTGGTGGAGAAGTGAATGGAGGGTGATAAATACACATGGCAGCTGTAACATGGAATGATCTTCTGACAGGGTTGTAGAAATATCATTTAGATGCTAACTGAAATGGCCAAGGGGAGCAGAAGCTTACACGTGATTGGGAAGAGGAGAAAATGGACAAAAACATGTAGTTAGCTGCAGTGAAACCTCAGGGTCCTTCCTTTCATTGTGGTGCAAATGTTCTGACTCTTACTCACTGCCTGATCAGCTTTCTGGTATGTCCACACACACAAGGGGTGCAGTTTTCTCCTTATGGCTTCTGCATGGCCAGTTAACTGAAAGGCCACAGGGCACATTGTTTGGAGTCCAGGTGGCTAAACACCTCAAACTGATGCCAAAATAAGATGGGTTGAGGTGAGGACTGACATCAGTCTTACTGCAAAGGGTCTAAAAGGAGCAGCCAGTCAAAGACACCTCTCTTGTATGATGATCACAAAGTTACCTGGCAAAAATCATTCTGCTGTTTTAAGACTGTCTAGATCATAGTTCAAAGAGAAATAAAAGTGTGCATGCCTCAAAGAAACAGGCATGAACCAGTTTAAATCAGCAGGCTTTAAAGTTGTGCCTTCTCTCTCCTATTCTCGGTTCCCTCCCTGAAGATGCCCAACATGTCCTGCTGGCTTTTGTCTGGCAGCTGCTGTACTTGGAGCTGATGGTTTCAGGGAACTGGTAAGGATGGGTGGTTTACATCACTGTCTTGTGAACAGCACTGGGACTCCTGTGGGAAGATGCATTACACCCATGGGGCAGGATATGGGGTGCCAACAATATGAAACATCCCAGTTTATCTCCCAGAATCCTACCTCAGCATTCGTGAGCAGTAGGACTGCTTCTCTCCCAAAGGGGCTGAGCATCAGTGCCTGATGGGGAGGAAGAGCCAGGCCTTGGAGAAGAGGTTGGCATCGTGTACTCAGTGCTCCCCATTACAGGGATCAGCACAGGAAGCTCTTGTGACACAAGGGCAAATACTTGATATTTGGGTATTCAAAGTAAAAGTCATAGATTCCAATTTTGATAGTCCAATAGTGGCCTTTTGATGACTAGAAAGAAAATTGGTTCTATCCTGGCTCAAACCAGGACAATGTGGTAACAGTTTACTGATTTGGGGCTGTTCTGGAGACTGACAGTGTTTAGGCATCTGAGGGTAAAAATCACTTCTCTGTAAGCAAATAATAAATAAGGAGCCTTGCCATACAACCCACCAGTCCCCAGGGACTGGGAATAACCTGAAGGGAGGAGAGTGGGCATTTTACCCTACCTTAAGATTTTGTTATTGCATTCAGTAATGTCAGGTTGCCATAACAGGGTGAGTTATGGTACCATGTACTCAAAATTTTAATTTCAGTTCCAGAAATCAGGCTGAGATGGCAAAAATGAAGCAGACAATGAAACAAAGACAAGCAAATGAAAATGTAAAAAAGCAAACAGATAACAAACAGATTTGTTTTTTTTTAAAAATAGAAAACATTTATTAAAACAGTCTTAGGAATAATTACACTCTCACAAGCAAATTCTGTGTTTGTAAGATGCAGTTTTTACCATTAGCTGATTGAGTAGCTAATTAGACATAGAACAAAGTTCTTAAACAGAGCAATGGGATTGTGAATATTTCTTAAGAAGTTAGAGTAGGAATGGAAAATCCAATAGAAATGAAAGAAATTATAATAATTTTCTATCTTACATAGAAACTACTCAATAAATACATATAAATATCATGGAACTCACAATAAATAAATACAAACCCCACTGTCCTAAAGACTCAGCAGATTTGTACAGTCAGAAATCACAGTTCACAGTCCAGCCACAGGCTGACTGCAGATCAGGAGGCTGATGTTGACACAACATACTAGTGCACTCCAGGGGAGCAGGAGGAATTGCCATTTTGCTGGTGTGGTAGCAAAGCAGTAAAGACTTAATGTGAATCATCTGGGCTGGAAGTGCATTGCACTTAACTGATTGTGTTTGGCTGCAGTGGCTGCCCAGGGTTCTTCATTTCCCTCAGCAAACCACTTTCCTTATTCAGTGTCTTCAGTGTCACCAAACAGTGCATCCCACAGACAAAACTAACCATTTTTAAAATACTTTCTTAAATAGATGCCATTAAATAAATAAATAAATAAATAAAATATGCCATAATGAACAGAGTAACATTGATGCATGAGGTGGAAGGTTGTACACTGCTTGACTGGTGCTTTTCCTGGATGTTTCTCTCAATGGAGCAGCAGGAGCAGTTCTCAGATTTTTCCTGTCCTGGTGGTTCCTAGAGAGGTGAGTCAGAATTGAGCTGAGCCCTGTTCAGAGGGGAGAGAAGAGGATTGTTTAAAAGGAGGTTCCAGAGTGGTTCTCATTGCTTAACATTGCACAAGCTGTTAAGGATGAGTGGTGTTTTTCCAATTCTATGTGCTGTCTTGAGGCACAGAGAGAATGAAGGTAGAGTTAAAAAAGCAATTACTGAGATCCTGCTGTGGGCATATCTGGTGCCCAGCTAGGAAACTTCTGCAGCATGAGTTTCTGCATTTACTAGCATCAAAAAACTAACTTGCTCAGAAATATGAATTATTTACACATGCTACTGCAAGTAAGGGGAAGATGAATTTTTTTAAGCCTTGTTTTCCCAAAGGAACTAAACACTTGAGTGTTCCTTTCCCTCCAGACAGAGCTGCCTGTACTCAAAGGCTTAGCAGTGACAAAGCAGCTTGAACAAGGACCCTGCATCAGAGGCAGAGAAAAGACTAATTCTATAATTAAGCAGCAAGTTTCCTCGTTCTTTAAATCTGAATAAGAGAAAATGGAAAGTATCACTAAGAAAGCCTAAAAATTGGCTTTTTTTTTTTTTTTTTTTTTTTT